TTGCATCAGCAGCGCCCAAAATAATCCACCGAATAAAATTTCAGGGGTCATGTTTGTCTAGCCGACGCATCAATCACGCCACGAGAGGTTGACTTCTTCTAGACTCAAATCAATCAAGCATTTCAAAATAATGAAAACAATAATAATGAGAACAATAATAATGAGAGACAATGCAAATGACAATCATTAAATCAGTCAATCCAAAAAATGCTACAAGGCTGAAACAAAGACGAACGTTCAATCAATCAATCAATAACTTTATTAATGTGTCAAATACATTCTAGCCGAGGATAAAAAACCCTCTACTAATAGGGGACACATAACCGTTACCGTAACGGTGACAAAGATGCTTTGAAACCTTCAAACCGTCAATTTTCTCGAATCTCGAAATACAATAAGAGCCAAGGTGGAGTCTTACGGATACAGGCTCGCTATCATACATGTCATTTGCTAGAATAACAACAAGCCAGGGTAAAATGGGTCAATGCACCAAACAGTTGAGTGATAATTCAATATTATACACGCAATTGGCATCGGTTGAATTCCTGATGCAGATTAATAAAAGCAATTTTTAAACTATAGTAATAACTGACGTCATTTCCCATTGGAGGTTTGACGAGCACCCCGAACGACACAGAAAAGAAAGTGACCTTCGGCCTAGGGCATGAAAAGACACAAAACATATAGATAACCCAGCCATGACAATAATTCACTTCATTGACGTTTCGAGACTTCAGTGAGTGTTTTAGTGAGTAACTTCAGTTTCGTTCGTTTGTCTTGGGTTGAGTTTTGACCAATTTCAGGGAAGAGTGCAAGTTATGGAAAATCTACAACAAAGATTCGAGGTAAGGCATATGACTAGGTGCCGTCGATCACGGGCCTCAAAGAAATGCGTCGTTGTCATTTAAATATTTTCCAGCCAAACTCACAAACTCCTCTGTATAAATATATTCCTTAAACTGAATTATATTCTCTTAATGTACTGCACAAACAATTTATTTTAAACTCGACTCATTACCTACTAAAGCTAAGAGTCTTACAAGCTCATTAAGTATGTGTGTATGTATCACCTGCATTGACTCGTGGCTGCAGCTGATTGCTAATAATAAACGACTTCTTTTTCTGCTACGCAGCAGTTCATGATCTGTCAAGAAACTACCATCAAAGTTCATCAGTCACTTTGCGACCTAATAAGTTCGTTAATAAATTACTTCCAGTTGCCTCGTGAAGAAAGATTAGCATCACAAACTACAAGGTACATATATTTAGCTACAAATCAACCTTGTTCCGTCTTCATGCTATATTTACATTTTGCATTTCCGTTTTTGACAATATACTTAATTTTAAGCCTTCGGCAATCCGGGGAAATGTTCGGAAAAGGTTCGGCAACGTTCGTGTCACCTTCGGACAAGTTTTGGAGAATCTTCGGAAATCTTCGGAAACTGGTTGGAAATCTTCGGAAAATTGTCAAGAACGCCGTCATCAGTATGTTTATATAATAAAGAGAACATTGCACGTTAGCTCAAGGATATGAGTTTTGTTCTTGCCACGCGAACATAATATTCATATCTTCTCGCCACCGTGTAGTATCCTCTATATATTTTATACGGGTCTTTGAGCGCGATGCTCAACGAGTTTGCTGTTAAATTCTGCAAGGTCTCTGAAGAGTCTCTTGGCCGAAACGAAACGCCTCGTCAGACTTGCCACGAACTATGTTTTCACAAGTATTTGTCAATTCCTAATGTATAAATGTGAACGTATGTGCGGTTGGGAATCCTTTTGCGATAAAAGGCCAGACTGCTAATATCTTGAATTTACAAACGGGACTTTGAGCGCGATGCTCAACGAGTTTGCTGTTAAATTCTGAAAGGTCTCTGAAGAGTCTCTTGGCTGAGACGAAACGCCGCGTCAGACTTGCCACGAATTATGTTTTCATAAGTATTTGTCAATTCATATATTTTTACAGACTCATTCAGGAAGGAAAAGATAAATGGAGAAGTTTAAACTGGGTATGTGTGTGTTTTATGACAATAAGTGTAGAATGCATTTGCTTTTAGGGTAGTTCATTAGCCATTGGCCAGCCACAACCATCAAAATATTGTACAATATCATTATACTTTTTATTGATTTGAATACTGAAACCAGAGGCGATCCCAACTCGCAAGGGAGAGATTTTCATTGCTCAGAACTGATTCTCCCAGGTGCTCCGGTTAAAAATGATGGCTTAGACGAGTAGAGCTCTTTGACTCAAGTTCGGTTGTCATGACAATGTTGCTCTGGCTACGAAGCATATTTAACAACATGAAGTACCCAAGCAGTACTCAGAGACCCTTCGCTGCCCATCAGAACATTTTTAATGGTGTCTACTGATTTTTCGTAGTAGTGTTAGCTCTGTTATGCTCATAGTGTCGCTTCATGAGTCCACGCATAGTTAATTAACTATGGTCCACGGACGGAGAAAATGATACCTTGACAAAGGTGACTTCAAAAGGGATTTCTAAAATACATCGTTACCTTTTAACTCGCTGGCACCAGGACAATATTCAGAGTATATGTATTGTAAGCCATCTGGTACACAAATCAACCTGCTATGGGAATCATATTACTATGCATCGTGTTAGGGCGAAAACCTCAATATTTAACAAGCTTGTTTAATGTGATATTGCAGAAATATCCAATACAAGAAGAGTACAAGACAATCACGGAAATTCTCAAAACACAATCTGAATTACTACAGGTTGGTGATCAGGAACAACTGGTACCCTTTACATGTATCATGAATGCCACAACAACTATTAATTCAAACAATTTAGTGTTGTACTTTTTTGCTACAGCAAGATTATAATCAAGGAAGAGACGCTTCAAGACAACTTCTTATGGCCCTGTTACGTTCCCTATGGAAATATTTTTTGTTTAATTCTCAAGGGAGCCCAGCACTGACACCAAACTTCACAAGGTAATCAACTATATTTTATCATAATCTGAAAACCTATAGTGTCCCAACGTAACCTTAAGCAAAAGACCACCTCTGTCTTATCATTTAAACATAGTCAAACAGTTCGCTGTAAAATAGTATTTCTTTTCATTAAAGCAATGACTTTACACTTTACCAGCCAGGCTTAACTGTTTATAATTGTGAAAGCTGGAAATTCCTGTCCTACCATATTTGAAGATGTTGACCACAATCACCTGTACACACTATTTGTTACGTATGCCATCTGCACTTACATCTAAGTGATATGTAGGTTTACTTTTTTGTGAATACACACACGCACTTTATTAATTTGATACCGCGGGTTAAAGCTTAAGGCAGACAAAAAAAGAAGCAAAACAAATATTAATAAATATATATAAACAAGTTTGTAACTACAAAACTCACAATATCACAATATCACAATATCACAAAATCACAAAAAAGGGTGATTAAAATAAGTTTAAGATTTAGAAAAAAACATTTAAAAAACGAAATATTGATCATAAAATTCAGCAATATATTTTGGAGGTCCTTGCTGTTATTTGCGCATGTTCCTTATACTTAGAAAACATTTTGCAATGCTAAAAATATCAACGAAAATATATATATTTCTAAACCTGCCAAGCAAGCTTCATGTTAGCATTTTAAGGAAAGCAATAATTCCCCTTTAAACTACCTAGGTAATAAAATTTGGATGGCTTTATCTCCCTCTTTCTGCAGCCTTAACAATCACAGAGAATGGGAGAAATTTCACCAAGCAATTCTACGGCTGTCTACCAACTTGCAACGAAATATTCTGGAAACTGCACTAGAGCAAGATGTGAGGATGATAATATATTACCTAAAGGAGTCAACAGCTGTATGGAAAACACAGGACTCACAATTCAAAAGGTAATTCTCTCAGGTGGATGAATAATTGTCCAATGAAACGGTGGCAAGTGTTGGCACCTTTTCTGCAATATGGTGACAATACAGTAGTTTCATTCTTAATATTATAGCAATGATCACAAAATTACGCTGTAGAAAATTTCTGCAAATAAACAAAATATCAAACTTATTGAATGTATGTAACTTGAAAAAGTGGTTGCTTTTGATGATTTCTCTTAAAATGTAATAGGGAACATTTCCGTGTATCAAACCTTGGCCAAGTTACTTGGCATTTCCATAACAACGTTTTGACAGGCTGTTCTACTAGTATGTTGGTCTAAAGCAAAGAGCGGATAAATTGATTGCAGGTTTGACTGAAGGAGTGAAAATACAACTCCCCTAGGTTTTATGTAAATAAATACACCAACAGACTCTCTCATTCTAACTAATGGGCAATAAGTATTTTAAAATAGTCCAGGCACTGTTTGTGGTAACTGAGTCACACATTGTTCAACATTTTTCAGTTAAACTATATAGTTTAGGCAGCTTTTGAGTATCAAAAGTAACTTTGTAGATGCGATTAAATTTGTGTTCTTCGATAGTTTCTAATTTTCTTGTGTGTTGTGTCTACATACATCATATTGCTTTTAATATGAATTTTTCTTGTTTCTGCAGACACGCTGAGGACCAAGAATTAGATATACTTGATGCACATCCAGTAAGTACATTTTTAATGATTTATACGATTTATAAAGTCATTGCTACACTTAATATATTAAATCAATGATGTCAATAAAATATATTTTACGTAATAATGATAGCGAATAATGACGAAAAGACAACAAGCTTCTAGATGGTTAACACGCCAGATAAAATTGATTAAAATTTCTGAAACTCATGTTAGGACAATACCAATGTACTTTTTAGAAAATAATGAAGTGAGCTCTAATGAACAATAAATTAAGCATATTTTGTTTTGTCCTCAGGTACTGTGATGTTTTGTACATTGGATCTTGCTCGCATATTACATCACTTTGGCATGTTTCAAGGCTGCTTGTGTTACGTTTCACTACTGGTATCAAACTGATTGTTTGTCACTGCTTGAAATACGTTTTAATGTGACTAGTTAATTTCGTAACTTGTGTGGAATTCCTATCCGTGTCTAAAACATTTCACATACAAAAGTACCTTTTAGTAAAACTACAACTCCTTGAAGGTGCTACAACAATGAGAGGATTGCCAATGAGAGGAAGGCTTAAAGTACTGTTAACCACTTTGAGCTCCAAGTGACGTGTGAGAAAAGTAAATTTTACACTAGCCACAACGTCAAAGGAGCTTTAGCCGTTTATATTCAAATTATGAAGGTACATATATTTTTCTGATAAACTCAAGTTTTAAAGATATAAACAGCTTTCAAATATACGTTAATTGTTGATTGAATAATTGATGTAATGGTTTTTCTTAACCCTGCATCTGTTTGGCTCATTTACAATATAGATTTGTAACAAGAGAGAAATGTATGTTTTGTGTTTCATGATAAAAACATTAAATTGGTTTGACTCCAAATTGTGACAAGTATTTCTCATTTTAAGGTGATTCCTCAGAAATAAAAGTTGTCGAACAACTTCCTAGAAACGTCCCCCGAATGTTTCCTTCCAAGCACTGTATCGAAAATACAACAAATCAAAGTGCACCATGAGCAAAACTCGTGAATACAAATGGTGAATGAAGTTGTGTCAGGAGCTCCTGACTATGGATTATGTGCATAATTTTGACATTGATTTACATGTTAGTAGTTGTCTGCCAAAGTACCAAATAGACATTTGGATAAGAATGCTTGACAATTGAAATGAAATTGCAATTGTATGGGCATAAGGCCATGAAACTTGATTCCGTAGGTGAGGTAACACACCCAGCCGTGGTCAACTAGCCGGCATTTACATGCAGTCTTATCAGCCCCGCAATCTTGGAGTGAACTTTCTCTGAGGAACGTAATACATCAGTTAATTCTAGCAGTGTTCTTTCCAGCCCTTCCAGGTAGTAAAAAGCTAGGTTTTGCTCACGTCTTCATTCTGGAAGTGGGCCGTTTCAAATTTTGTTATCAGCCCAGAGCGGGCATTTGAATACCCCAGAGACAGCCCCAGAACATTTGGCACCCTTGTGTTTTTGGTCTCGCATGTACAGGATGTTCTCCAAGAGGGTATAATCATCCTCACTTGTGTTCTGTTATTTATTCATCTCCTGTTCATCACATATGGATCGTATAAAATTTGTTCTATATTGTCTATATGATATATGGAGTCTAAGACTATCTGAGATGATCCGTTTCATTACCAGCTTATGTTTGTATTGCGTTTAATATTCTGATAATGCAATAGATTAGAACACAGAGTAGCTTCTGAAGCCGTTCGTTATTTCTCCCGTTTTCTATACGTTTCTATACGTTTCTATTGATATACTTTTGATAATCAGTTCTCCCATTCATCCGCCATAGTAGCTGGAAGCATCATCAGTCACTGCATGATACCCTTCAGAATCCTCAAGTAGTCGAGTCTACTGGCTTACATGAAAAATTTAACTACACTATTTAGCTAATCTGAACCTGTTCTCAGTTCGAATTTGAATTCCTGCCTTATTGCAGGTACCCTGCCTGTCAATTCAACACCACTGAGCGAGC